AGTGATAATAGTTATAATAATGATTAATAGATAGCGATAGTAATGATAATAGCAATAAAGTGATAGTGATAATAGTGATAAAAGAGTATTTAATAAATTAAATAATATATATAGCATGATCAAAGTATTTGATTAATGCAAAGAGTATTTACATTGATGGTTGCCGGTAGATTCTAAATGCCTTTCTGCATTGGGAAGATGTACGAGGACTTGAAGGATCGAATTAATGAAGCATACAACGTTATTATCGTTTCTTAATCCGGCTCCGTTATTAAAACCAGCTTCATTATTATTATTATTAAAACCAGCTCCGTTATTAAAACCAGCTCGATTATTAAATCCAACTTTATTATTGTTGTTTCTGAAATTCTGATTATTGTTTCTGAAATTACGGTTATTGTTTTTGAAATTACGGTTATTGTTTTTTCTCGCCATTACTGTGTGTGTTTCTTGATAATAAGAATTTAAATTTTTTTTTTAGAGAAATAAAATTTAATTTTATGTAATGAGGTGAGAAGTGTTTTTTTTTTTATATAACTACTTGAGAAAATTCGCCGCACCTATATATATGTAAATTTTATGTATGTTTCATTTGTTAGAAAAAATTTTATACATAAGTAGGAGGGTAAATAAAATTGTAAAAGACATTATTTTTTTTTTTTATATTACTTTATTCTATTATTTTTGAAAAAACCTTTGACATAATATAACTTAAAAAGGAAATAAAAATTAGTGTAGACTCTTTACGATAATAATAAAATAAATACATCTCCAAATCGTGTGAAAACAAAGGGGTTGTCTTTTTACAAACTTGCTGATTTATTACTATTGTACAATAAATAAATAAGTTCTATTATGTTAAAAACATTTCATCTTTACAAAATAATTACGTTGACTAGGTGACTCGCCGTTCGTTATCGCATAATGGATATTAATTAAAAAAATCTATCTCCAAATCATTAAAAATTTTTGTCTTGGAATATTTACACACTACTTATTACTATTATAATAAATAACAACTACATAGATATTTCGTCATGAAACAATTGATCATATATAATTTTTTTTTTTTTTTTGTGAAAGATTGTTAGTTAGTTTTTTATGTTATGAAAACCTTTTAGTTTTAATTTTATTATTAATAAATAAAATTGCACATATGTGTTTAGATGGGTAATTATATAATTTTATTAATATTTGGCAATTCACCACCTGCAAAATAAAAGTCTCTTTACGATAATAGTAATAATAACAACATCAATAAATATATATAAGCAATAAAAAATATATCTCCAACATTGTGTGAAAAAAAAGGTGTTTCCTCTTTCCAAAACTTAATAATTTACTACTTT